CATAAGGCAAAGTTCTCATTGGGGCAGTGGCCAGTCTGACCCCCCAGGGCAGCACCATGTTCCCTTGGGTGCCATATTATCCTGACCTGATCCTGAGAGGCTGAGTTTTCAAGGCTCCAGTCCTAGAAACTATAGGATGAGATTTTGGGTTGCAGGGAGTGGAAGAGTTCATTATGCCATTGGATGAAGCCCTCATAAATCACCACACATCATGGTGGCAAAGGAGGGGTCATGAAAATACCTCAAGAGCTCATGAAAATCTTCCAACTTTGCCCTCTAATAATAGAGTACAGTAACATTCAAAATCCACAAAAACAGTGATATCTTTATCCAGCCAATTAAACGCACAACATCTGGTTGGATGAATAAAGGTATCAAGTGTTTTTGTAGATTTTGGATGTTAATGTACTTTGCTATATGGACAGCATGGCTACCTCTGAATATGTCTTCTAATAGTAGAAAGAGGGTTCAAACTCTTCCATGATTAGTTTGAGAGCTTTTACTGTTTGCTCCAGCTCCATCAGCTACAGTGTCACCACCAAGCTCCATCCTCATCGGAATAGACTCCATCCCTCCATCTGCCTCATAAGCATCATGACTTAGGGCCTCGGCAGACGGCTAATACAGCCGTCTTGGAGGCAGGGAAGGGGAGGGGCAGCCGCACGCTCGGCGCCCCATCCCTTTCCCGAGGTCGTCCTCGGAGCCGCCGGCCCTCCGCACGGCCGGCGCTCCAAGGGCAACCTCCCGCCGCAGCGTCCGGACACGCTGCGGCAGAAAAGTCAGCGAAAGTGCGCCGCAAGCTTTTGAGGTGCACTTTCGCTGACTTGTGAAAGGAGTGCTATTTTAGCGGTCCTTTCAGGGGCGGCGAAGGTGCGCCGCAGGATCGAGGCGTGGGGATGCCTCGGTCCCGCGGCGCACCTTCCCAGGGCGGCCCATGGCCGCTAGTCTGCTTAGGCCCTTAGCTTTCATGACCTTCCTTCATCTGTCTCAGAGGCTGACCCTCAAACAGCTTTGAAGAGTTAGTTTTCACACTGACTATGCTGGCTGTGGATTGACTGAGAGTTGTAGTTCAAAAAGGTAAGTCTTCCTTAGTTGCTGAAAGGCATGAAGAAGCTGAATACTATGAACACATAAAGCAGTCTTCTGCCAGCTTAGACTGCTAGTCCATCCAGCCCATAATGTCTACTCTTGACCAGAAGATGCTCCCCAAAGCAGATTAACATCTTGTCCTCCCCAGCTTTCTAAGTGATGGATGTCTTCTACATATCAAAACAAGATGGATGCAGTGGGGAGGCTGGGATTTCCTTTAGCTCTGCTTCTCATTTAATAGTTATTTTTCTATGTAGGGCCATTCCCCAATGGAGAACCCATTGTATCTACATACAAAATACCTATATTGGAAGCTCATTTTGTCCCACTGACATTATCTTTTGGATCAGGTCCACAGGACTCTTTAAAAAGCTCCCCTCCTTCATTTTTTAATAAAATGCTGCTATCTCAGCTTATTGTCTAACAAAAAAGCGGAGACAGCCCTTAACTGCTTGAGGGATGATAGTTATCATCTGTTATAAATGAATGGGTTAGAGACGGAAAAACAAATGGATACAGACACACTCTTTCTATTCAAGAGCAAAGCAAAACCATAGATCTTTAACATCGCTGTACCTCTTGGCAATCCTGAAGAAACTTTTGAAGATCTCTGTTGTCTTTCAATCTCATCAGGAGTTCACTGGCCACCTCACGATTCTTCTTATGTCTGTTTAAAACAAAAACAAGGAAGGAACGTTTCAATGTGGGAACTTTCAGGACATTGAGGTTTTGGTTATAATATGCTGCTTGAATGGAAACTCTGTTACAATTCTCGTGCATATCTCTCAATCTCTGGATGCTAAACAACCCTTTAATCAGGGACAAAACTCACTGAAATGAAGGACGTAATGACAGGCCCCAAAACTCCTCTATACACAACAAAATGAAACAAAGTGTTTTGAAGGGTGGGAGTTTTGACAGAGAATGGAATTTGTATGTGGATCTGAACCAGGATAGGTTTGTAAACCTACGACTGTTACAAAACATTGTATCTCCTTAAAATCCTTCATTACACCTTAGAAATGCTACTTTTTGGGACCACAGCCCCCAAGATCCATCAGTCAGCATAGCAAGGAAATTATGGCCTTAAAACAGAAAGTAGTTTTTCCAAGCTCTGTCCTTCAAAATTTGGACAAGGTAGTAATTTGAAACATGTCAGGTTTTGCAACCCTTGGTGGGGAAAGAAGGACTCAATTGGGATGGCAATCACTGTAGCAATTGGAGACCAACCATAGGGAAATGAACACATGATACTGACACCATCAGTCTTATACCACACTAAGATAATTGTTCTGGCTTCTTTGCCTGATGGATCTGAGTGGGGAAAGCTCCCAAACAAGAGCCCCTTTTCTGTTTCCTAGGGAGACATGCTCTTATGTCAGTTTCCTATGTTTCTAAACCAGAAGTGTGGAAAGCTAACTGCACAGTTCACCCATGTTTTCATTTTATAAATTCATTGGAGAGATGGCAGTACAGTTGCCCTTCCATTTTCAAAGACTTGAAGTCTGCGGTTTTGCATATTCACGGAGGGGTGACCTTCATTAAAATGAATGGGGCGTGCCCCTGCATGCGCACCCCATTCAAGCCTATGGGGCTTGAATATTGGCAAATCTCCATTTTCATTGGAAGAGGGCAGAACGGATCCCCCATGAAAATGGAGGGCCAACTGTATAATCACTGTTTCCTTGTCACTAGAAGAAACTGTGGTCTTTGCCACTCATTGCATGCAGGGCATGGCAAAAGAAAAAGAAAAAGAGATGCATGTGTAGTCTGCATTTATGTGGTTCACACTTTGGGGGATAAAAGTTTGAAGGCAGTTCTATGCATCTTCCTCCATACCATGGTGCAGATGCACAGTTTCCCTTTCCACATTATCTGGGAGACTGACAACAAAAGTTTGACATTTATGCCATTTGACATCTACACATTTTACAACATTTGTCAGAAGGCACGAAGCACCTCTCAGTTACAAGCAAATCCAGAAGAACAGGGATATAATGTTGAGTATTTCTTCATCAAAATAAAATATAGATGAACAACAACATAAAGTTTCAAAGCAGTGGCACCCTGACCAGGAGAAGCACTTCACGAAGGGTGGCTACAGCCACATGAATTCCTACCCTGTGGGCCTAGTATCAAAAATTACCAACCATCTGATATGGAGAGATACAACAGTAATGGGACACTTCAACTGGAATATTTAGAAAGGATATTGACTACTCTGGACCTGGTCCTCATCAACAAAAAAGAAATGGTCAATGATGTAGAAGTAATAGGAACTTTGGGTAAAACTAACCACATCCTTCTGAAATTCTTTGTATAGAGGCAAAGGAAAGCTGACTACAATTGAATGCACATAGGTAGCAGATGGAAGTAAGTTTAAGGAAACTATGGTCAGAAATATTGGTTTGAAATTCTGAACAAACAGTCAGAAATACTGAAAGGGAAGGGAGTTCATGATAGTTTCAAATTTTGTAAAAGTGTGCTGTTCCGCTCCTGCAAACAGAGCCCTAAACGGGGTTTGTGTTCCCTGGAGCAAATGGACACCACAAGAGAACAACCAGGAGAGGAGCTGGAGTAAGGCTTGGGCTGGAGCAGAGTCACCAGGTTATCTCAGGAACCAGGCAGAGACAGTGGCAGTTCCAGGTCAGATAAACAGAATGGTGTCTTATTGGTTCCTTGATTAACAGAAAGAAAACCAAAGAGGAGTCCTGAAAAAGTGCCAGGAGTCAAGGAAATGCAATAGCAAAGAACAATGCTGGAGATAGGGTTCATGGCAAGCCAAGGTAAATGATAAGTCTAGCACCCAGCATCTCAAGAGCTTTCACTTATAAGCAGTCATGGGTGAGGTCAGCTGTTGCTTCTCAGGGCAGATTCTGATGGGTCAGAGGCTGCTGGATTCTTAATAATAATAATAATAATAATAATAATAATAATAATAATAATAAGTTTTATTTCTAAGCTGCCCCTCTGCTCAGCAATCGGGGCGGCGTACAGCATAATTGAAAAACAAGAGACAATGTAAAATTCCTATATCCCACACCCTAATCCTCCCACCCCTTAAAACTAAATTAAACTATAATAACAAAGTTAAAACAATTCTTAAAAACATAAAAACAAAAACAAATAAAAACAAAGTAAACAATTTGGGCATGTCCATGTACTATGGGGGGTTAAGGATGTAAGGTAACCTCCGCTAAAGCGGGGGATTATTCCGGGAAAGCCTGCCGGAAGAGATCCATCTTTACCACTTTCTTGAAAGCAGCAAGGGTAGTAATAAGACGGATCTCATCTGGCAGGCCACTCCATAGTCTGGGAGCGGTTGCAGAGAAGGCCCTCTGGGAGGTCTGGGACAGCCTAGTCTTTATGGGCTTCAACAGATTCCTCCCAGAGGACCGAAGGGCACGGGGGGGATCGTATGGGGAGAGGCGGTCCCTGAGATAAGATGGACCCAAGCCATGTAGGGCTTTAAAGGTTAACACCAACACCTTGTACTGTGCCCGGAAACTAAATGTACCTCTCTGGCAACACTGAGGTTTCTTATTCTATTGCTTCTGCCACTGTCTCTTCTGAGGGTGTGGAGGTCTTTCTGTCTCCATATCAATGTCTTTCTATGGGGAAGAGGGATCCCCATTGGATGCTACAGGTTTGGCCTTTTCTTCTCCAAGGGGTTACTGAGTGGGGCTAGAGCCTTCAGTTACTCCTCTGAATTTTCCTGTTCAGGTCTTTCATCACGACTCCTTGTCTGGGGACGGCTCCATGATCTAAAGCATGATAGAAGGTGAGCTACTGAACATTGCAAGTAATTCCTAAAAAGAAAAATGGGAGTCACCTAAAGAAACCAGGATGGGGGTAGAAGGAGCACTTAGATGAGTTGATATTTAAAAGGGACATGTATAAAAATAAAGAGAGTCAGTGTGGTATAATGGTTTCAGTGTTGGACTGTGACTGGAGACCAGGCTTCGATTCCCTGCTCAGCCATGGAAAACCACTGGGTGACTTTGGGCAAGTCACACACTCTCAGCTACAGAAAACCCCATGAAACCCCTAGGGTCACTGTAAGTTGGAAATGACTTGAAGGCACACAACACCACCAAAAATAAAATAAAAGGAGGAGCAAATCACTAAGGAAGAATATAAGAGTAGTAATATTTTTAGAGAAAAGACCAGGAGGGCTAATGCTCAGAATGAGTGCAGGCTGGAAGAGGAGTTATTATAATAAAAGGATTTTGTGGGTTTTTGTTTTTTTTTTGTATGTTTGAAGCAAGAGGAAGAACATGGAAGTGGTAGGTCCACTGCATGGAGAAGATGGAGAAAGGCTGACAAGTGACAGAGAGAAGGTGAAGCTGTTCAACTAATTTGCATCTGTTTTCTCCCAAAAGGAAGATAAGAAGTCAGCCTAGTGAAAACAGATTAAATGTTGGCTGGTGATGCCCCAACCCAATACATGTAAAGAGGTGATGCCAGAACATCTACTTACTTTAAATGAATTCAAGTCTCTAAGGCCAGATAAATGACATATAAGGGTATTAAAGGAAGCTGGCAGAAGTAATCTCAGAACTTTTGTTGATAATCTTAAATTCCTGGAGAAAAGGTCCTTGCAAACTGGAGGCAGGCAAATGGTGTATGCATCTTCATAAAGGATGGGGAGAGGATCTGAGTTAACTACTAAACCAGGGGTAGGCAACCTATTCCATCTCATCCTCACCCCAAATGTATGAGAAGACAAGGAAAAGAGCAAATGGCCTGCTAAATATCACTGAGTGAGAGAGGATTTGAAACTAGCTGTCTTTGAGAGCTTGAAACATTATATTTCATGGATTACCACTCCAACAACCCTCCAGCTAATGTGGCCTGTGGGAGACATAGGGGGGAAGCAGACTGCCAGAAATAGTGGACTTTAAATTGAGGCACTGCCCTGGCTCAGTGCTAGGGAATCATGGGAACTGTAATTTATTGTGGCACCAGAGCTCTCTGACAGAGAAGGCTCAATGTCCCAGAAAAAAATACAATTCCCATGACTCCCTAGCACTGAGCCAGGGCAGTGCCTCAATTTAATGTGCACTATTTCTGGCAGTCTGCAAAGGCCCATAATTACCAAAAAGCAACTTTTCTAGGCTCTGTCTTCTCTACTCCAAGCTCCAAACTCTCATGTACTCTTTGGTACATCACTTCAAGCAGTTACTGAATACTAAATTAAGAAATTTACATAAAGAGTTTTAAACCCCTAAATAAATACATCTACAACACTTAAACTAGACCTTCAATTCCAGGAAAAAAAGAGGTGTGTGGTGGTGGCAGCTCTCTCCAGTTTTTGCAGCTGAAATTGGAAGAGAATAGTAAGCTTTTAAAATCATGCTGGTTACACATAGTGGTAGCTCTATTTCCTGTGCATCATTTGAGCTGTATTGGATTTAGCCACAGAAACTGGGCCAGTTTTTCCATTCAGTCAATGAAAATTTCTCTGCCATTATACAGTGTAAAGATTCAGTCCAATATTTTTTTTCAAAAAAAAAAAAAATCAAACCACATGAAAGTAAAAATGCTTTGACATAACTTTCTCCTAATGGGTCACATTACATATTACGAGGCTTTCTCACACAAGCCCTGCTTCCTCAAAGGCTCTTTAATAAATCTTTGCTATGACTCAGCACCCCATAAACTTGTTTTTACCAAGGCAAGCTCCAGTGGTTTCTATAATCCCTAAATAAAGTAACAGGCTTAAGTTCACTTTCCAGGTGGTTACACCTACATATTCCAGAAAAAGGAAGTTGTGCGTGTTATTTTAAAACATCCCTATTAGCACTACATTAAAAAAAGAAAGAAGAGGCTTGAAAAGCAAAGACTATTCACACATAGGCAAAAATTAATTCAAATCACCCAGATCTAACCTGGATGTTACCTAAGATATGTATTTAATCACAAGGGTAATTAATCGTTCTAACCTTGGCTGCATCCGCACTGTAGAAATAATCTGGTTTGATGACACTTTAACTGCTCAATGCTATGGAATTCTGGGATTTGTTTGTTGTGGCACCAGAGCTCTCTGACAGAGAAGGCTCAATTGACTCCTAAAGCTGTAGTTCCATGAATTCCATTGCATTAAGCCATGGCAGTTAAAGTGATGTCAAACCAGATTATTTCAGCAGTGAAGATGCAGCCCTAGAAGCAATTCAGAGGCTGGTTTCAAACATACTTTTTAGCACCAGTAGCTTGTAGTCTGAATTGTGGAGGGCAGGGGTTGCCTTCCCCACAAAGGGTCAAAGTGATGCTCAGAGCATAAGTTTCTCTGATGGTGGCTTGTTGAATTCTGGGTAGTTGTGGCCAAACTGATCCCTGCAAACAACTGTGATTTGTTAGCTAGCTGCAAGCAACAACTGTAAGTCATGGTTTGTTGCTGGCTTATGAATTCTGACTTATTTCAGACACGGCTTGCTGTTATAGCTGAACCCCAGATTTTGTCTTGTTCCTAATGTATTTCCCAGACTGTGTGCTTGGAAGCAAGGGCTGACAAAAGGAACAGGAGAAGAAAGATCTGAAATGGAGAAAACAAACTGGTTTGTTTGGTAATCTACAGGACAAAAGGAACTACATATTGGGAGAAAGGTGGGATATAAGAAACTAAAATAAATAAATAAAAATAAATAAAGCACCAAATAATGGTGAATAAACTAGTTAAGTCTTCACTTAACAACTGTTTCTTGTTGCATTCAACCTAGGAAACTATGATTAACTGCTTTGGAAAAAGCCAGGATGCAAAACTATGGTTTCTAGTTGGTTTAGAATGTTGTTTTGTTTCCAGGTTAGGCAAAATGGGAAACCATTTTTACCTGAAAATTTTCTTGTTAGTTCTTAGAAAGACTGACGAAACAGACTACATGCATGGAGGAAAGGCCAAGTTAAAGGTTGTTAAACTGCGCCATTACAACTTGAATTTTCCATTGGTAAGCTGCTCTTTCTTTCTTTCTTTCTTTCTTTCTTTCTTTCTTTCTTCTTTTTTCATTTTCATGACCATTTTTAAAGCAAGAAACACACTATTTAATTGTTTACAGATGCTTTTATACCCAGAGTTTGGATGAGCTGCTTTTTTAGATAGTAGTTTCTAGAATCCAGGGGACTCTGTGAGTTATAATTCAAACTTTTCAAAACTTTGCTTACACCAAGTCATGTTCCTACACCATCTCATTCAGTATTGGCTACTCCAACTGGAAACAGTTCTCCAGGATTTCAGGCAGGGAGTCTTTCCCAGATCCTCCAACAGAAGATAGCAGAGATTGAATCTGGGACTTTCTGTGTTTAAATCATTTGTGCCCTTTCCACTCAGCTGCACACCTGGCTACCAAATGTAACCAGAAAAGCCACATTACTGGCTTTTACAAATAGCTAATGTGAATTCTTCATCCTGTTGCAAGTCCAACACATTTGCGTGGCAGTGGTAATGATCACTGACTTGGCTGGATAGGTGTGTGCAGCACTTCTCATGGCTAACTGCTTAGGTCTAGACATATTTGGCAGGGACATCAGTGCAGGAGGTGTGATGGGTACATTTATGAGGTGGTGTTGATAGTGACTGTCATCACCTCCTCTTACTATAAACAATCCTGTAGCTGCCTAGGGGTTGGTAAGGTTTGCTGATTACGGTGTGATTTGAGAGCCCTGAAGTAGTTAGTTGCAGGTATTGCAAGGCAATAATTCTTTGGAACAATCTGAGAATACTTGTACAGGAACTACTTGGAAAGAATAGACATCAGCAACTGGAAATCTTGGACAACTGCAGGGGTCCCAGGACCCAGATAGGGACTGCCATTGATCTCTGTCATGAGACTTTTGCCAGACTTGTACTTCCAAGCATTTCAAAATGTCCCTGTTGCAGTATTTTTTCCTCGGGCTTTGCTATGCAAGCCTCGTTCTCACAGCAATCGTGTTAGTAATAGTAGTAGTAGTAGTAGTAGTAGTAGTAATAATAATAATATAGCACTTTCAGTGCAACCATCATTACATACTTTCTCAGTTGCTTGACTGGGGCTGCTCTCTTCCTGACTCCCCCTTAATCCCACCTCCCTGCCTTATGCCCTACCTAGCACACCTTTCAAGTTCTTCCCCCTCTAGTTTTTTCATGCAATTGCAGAGCTTTGCTACTGTTACTGTAAGTTAAGGTTGTTTAAAAAAAAAGAAAAGAAATAGAAATAGGAAAAACGACAACCAGGGAATGAGACTGCTTGGGAATGGGGTGGGGGGTGGGGAAGAAATCAGGATCAGAATACAAAGGGATCTTGTAGCACTTTTAAGACTAAGAGAAAGGAGTTGGTAGGACAAGCTTTTGTAGACTTAAGTCTACTTCGTCACATACAAGATCCTTTTGTGTAACTTTACTAGTGTATTATCATCACTAGCAATGAGCCCTGTCCCTGTATATTCTCTTCTCATGAGGATGGCAGCAACCAATTAAGTACAAAAAAGCCTATTGGAGCTGAATGCTATGGACACCTACAGTATTTGTTGTTGCGATTTCATGACAAGTCAACTTTGAGAGTTGTCCAGGAGCTTTAGTCATCAGCTGCCCTATTCAGGTCATAAAAACTCAAGACCATAGCTTCCTTGATTGAATCAGTCCATCTGAAATGCTATTCTCCTCTTTCCCTACTGCCTTCCACTTTAATAGAATTATCATGCTCTAATTCTGTAACTAGGAGTGGGAATCATATGGTCCTCAAGATATTGTTGGATTACAACTCCCAGCAGCCTTAGCCAGCACAGTCTATGGTGAAGAATGCTGTAAGCTGCAGTCTGAGAACATCTGGAAAGGCACAATTCCCACCCCTGCTGTGGATTCTGGAAGGTGCACTCCAAATAAGTCACTGTCCTAAACTGTGAGGAGAGCATGCTCCCCCTCCCACAGACATTCACCCTCCAACACACAGTTGTTGTTGTTGTTGTTAACTGCCTTCGTGTCAGTCTTGACCCATGGCAACCCTTTAGAT